AGATTAGATGTTACCTAATAGTAAAATAATTTCTGGGTTTTAATTGGTAAAATCATATAATCAACTCTCTTTTAAAGATGTTAACTTGAACCTGGTGCCACTTTGACTTTGATAAAATTAAAATTATGTAAAAAGAGCTTGGCCCACTTGTCTTTCATTCTTTGGCCCTAATTCAGCTAAATAAACATATTTGGAGGTTGACAATTTTAAGATTGATAATGTTAGGTTATCTGCTTATCATGTCTCAGGGAAGGGGAACCCTTTTAAGCTGAGCTGATAGAATGAATAAGATCATTGGTTTGTCAAAGAGAACTATAGGAAGTGCTTCAGAAGAGGCCATGAAACAGCAATGGGGATATAATGAGGATAAACCTGGAGTCCCAGGCAAATGCAGGACCTGAGGACAGAAACTAGGTGATTTGTTCTGAGGCATGTAGGAAATACTTTGTTACCTGGATTGGGTTGAAAATCAAGTGGGCAGTTTCTGTGCTTTGAAAAAGAAGCGTGACTGTTTTTTTAGAAAATTGCTACCGATCTCACCATATTCTCTTGAGGATTATATTGTATGCTGCCTAGAAATAAGACCTTGAAAAAAGAGTGACTGCCATTGGACCACAGGGGTCCTAGAGGCAGTACTTATCATCCAGAAGGATGAGAATGTCTAGAAAAGCTTGGTCAGTGCTGAATAAGAGTGATGTAATTCTTTCTAGAATCTCTAGAAAAATTCAGGTTAGTTTCTTAGTTCATGAATATTAATTTACATTTACTCATTGATTTACATGAGTGGACATACCAGACATTTAAAGAACTTTTCATGAAGATTTTAGAGACTAAAAAGCATCTTAGAGACTACTTAGTCAAATTTCTTTTTGTACAATTGAAGAAACTGAGTTCCAGAGACCTTAAGAGTCTTGGGTCATAAAGTTATTGCTAGATTGACCAGGTAAAGAACCATGGCTCCCATAGAAGTCCTCTTTCTTTCTGTTATATCATTTGCTTTCTTTTATTTTCCTCTTTAAAAAATAGTGAAAGAGAATTGCAAGGCTATCAGAGAAATAGTTATCTAAGAATACGGTAAGTTTTTTTTGAAACTCCATTTCAGCTGCATTTAAAGAGATCAATGTTTGTCTTCCCTGTTTTGCAGCAGCTCTACGCCGCTCAGCTGGCCAGCATGCAGGTGTCACCTGGAGCAAAGATGCCATCAACTCCACAGCCACCAAACACAGCAGGGACGGTCTCACCTACTGGGATAAAAAATGAAAAGAGAGGGACCAGCCCTGTAACTCAAGTTAAGGTACTTGCTTTGCAGGATTGTGGAACCAGTTTGGAAAATAGCTTCACAAGAAAGGTAGTGAACCAGGCTGTATTGGGGATAAACAGCAGGAAACATAGCAATATAAAGGAATCCCAAAATGTCCCTCTTTATGGTAAATTTCATGATTGAGCACTGAGAAACAGGTGTTTCCCTTTTGATAACAATGTGCCATATTGTGAGATCTTTACCTAAATCTGCAAACTAACTTCTCAGGAGTTTTTCCCCTTTGGATTCTGGCTTTTATTTTTTAACGTTTCTTGGCATGAATGGCCATGATTTTATTGCCAGTCTTTGTCATAGACTTGTGGTATTTATCTCCATATTCCTTAAACAGATAGAGAACCAATTTATAGTGCCAGAGAAGGAGGATCTTGAAACCTTAGATTAAAAAAGGGGACAGAAAAAGAATCTAATTCTGGACTTTATATGTTTTGTTGGTGAAGGTCTCTCTTTCAAAACTAGTTATAAATGTGAGCTCTGAGTTGTCATTGCCTAATAATGCTTCTGATGACATATAGTTCTGATAGAATAAACGGGCTTTCCCAAGTTATGTCTGGGATGTTAATAGATGCCTTTCCTCACCAAATTTCAGTGTCATGAAACTGGACAGCCAAGAGATATTTGGTGATAGAGGGGAATTGATGAGCCACTCTAATTTGTGCTGCAGCTGGTACCTATAGGTGGTACTGGTTGGTTTTTATGATTGCATTTGCTTTCTATATTGAATTATCAAATTCAAACCATTCAGAGAAACAATTTTTTTTGTATAATTGACTTATCTACTTGGAGGGGTATGCTAAGTACAGACACTTTATTGTAATGTGACAAAAGTACTGCATTTGCAGAAATTTTGCAATTATTAAATCATCACATGGGAAACAGCTGAGACCAACAAAACTCAGTGTTGGATGCTATATAATCACTGAAATTGTTTTGTTTTCTAAAATTTGCATATAGGAATTTTGAGATTTCAGAAAGGCCTTTAAAAAATGGATCCCAAATACCAAAGATCAAAAAAGTGAATATCCTTAAGGGAGATCGTTCTGCCCATGCACCACCCAAAGGAATTAATTTAATATCACCCATTCTTTTAGATTCTCCAAAGAAATAGATGAACATTTATGTTTTGTTTTTAGAAATATTGAGATATGACAATAGGAAGTTTACATCTCATAAAACAGAATTAGTTATGGAAACAGACTATTTTGCATTCCCAGAGTTTGTGTTTGTGAATAAGAGTCAGAACACTACAACTCAAACCAAGGCACTTTGCTTAATCATAGTTGTTAGAATATGAGTAGTATATCAAACAAAAGTGACTTGAGCTATTGAGTATTAAATATTTTAACGTAAAAAGTCATTTTATAAGTAAGTTGGCCAACTGGAACTGTACCAAACCAAGTCTTTACTGGATGAGTAAAATGTTCCTTGGTTAAATTAGAGTTTATGTCTGCTTTTACCATTCCATCTTTGTGGGCCAACTGAATTTTATTACTTGCTTGACCACATGACAATTCTTAGGGAGTTTTCTGTATAATTTGACTTGACCTTATTTTATGTTAATAACAAAAGAAACATTCCTTTAACTTATTAGATTGTTTTATTATTATTGTATATGCTGATAAAGATAGACCAAAACATAAAGCAAATGTTTTAAATTAAAAATATAGCTATCTATTATTAAAGAAGTACTGAAAATGGTCTTATAGTTTGCTAATAGAAAGAACAGTGGTCACCAAAGTCTGTCATGCTTGTCTTTATTGTCATTGCTCTCTCTGTATATAACATGACCACTTTTTTAAAATTCAGGCATGACATAGGGAAAACTTTGTTGAAGTAACTAAAATAAACATAGATGGTCTTATGTACCTTTTTCCCTCTAGAATTTTTGTCTACTATATCTGTAAACATCAGAAGTCAGAATATTTCCTTTCGAATATCAATTCTACCACTTTTGCTAGCTATGTCACCTTGAGCAAGCTACTTAATTTCTTTTAGCTTTAGTTTTCTCCTCTGTAAAATGGAAGTTAATATTATTGCAATTCTTAAATGATATAATACATCCTCTAGTAAATCGTGTATATTCCATAGAGTTTGTGATGCTGCTGCTGCTAATTACAGTAATAAAGAAGGTGATGCAGTGGTTTTAGTGATTGCGATTGAAATATCTAGTTGTATAATGAGAGAGATCCTAACTAAACATCTAGAGGATTTCCATTGTCAACCATGATGGAGGAATAGGAATCAGATTTACTTTCCCAGCTTAAACAACTAAAACTCAGGACAAAACTATATAAAACAATGGTTTTTAGATATTTACAATAGGAGTACAGGATAGCAATTGCTGTGTGGAGAGAAGCAAGCGAGACAAGCACTACAATTGCTCCAGCTCACTGTCTAGAGGGAGTTTCCAGGCAACTGTGCAGGAAGCTTGGCAGTCTCCCTGAGTAGAGACACAAACTTTAGAGTTTACGAATGCTGATGCAGTTGGAATTCATGAAGCAGGGTACTAGATATCAGAAAGCTGCACACAGAGAGAGTGCTGGAGATCTGCAGAAGGTTCCCCTGAGTATTTAGCTGAGGGCTGATCAACACATGCATGTGACAAAACTACTGGATGTCAAGGGATAACACCGGAATGTAGCAGGCAAAGCAATTGCAAAGTTCACAAAGGGCCTGGAATGGTTTGCATTCCCATTAAAGTGGAAAGATCTCCTGACATGTGGGGCATCAAATAGAGTCTCCAGAATGATATCACCTCAGTAGTGGAGCCAAATTATTAATAGATTAAAGGCTGTTCTGAACTTGCCTAACAAATCTCAAAAGTAAGCCTAGAAAGGACCAAATTATTCTGCATCTCATAACAAAGTTCACAAATATTTAAAGAAATACATAAATGCTAGTACCCAACAATGTAAAATTCATAATGTGTGGCATTCGCTCAATAATTACCAGGCTTTCAAAGAAGCAAGAAAATATGAATAATAAGGAGAAAAATCAATCAATAGAAAAAGACTCCAAAATGCCACAGATGATGGAATTAGTAGATAATACAGTAAAAACAGCTATTATAGGAGAATTCTAACTAGTGCCAAATGAGGTAAACAAATCTGCTCCCTAAAAAGCACCTGTAAGACAGGACAAAATAGACAAATATGACTATTTCTGCATTCTGGAAATTGACCAATGGCATATTATAATCTAAGAAAACATTTATATTTCTTATATGTAAGAATAGTATGAGTCTGTGACATTCTTGCCTAGGACTATTGTTATTTCTCCTATCCACAGGCTCAGTTAGCACGAAGTTTATGTAAGGTGGGAGCAGGCTGTGAGGACCAGCATTAGCTCTGCCATGGAGAAAATGGATTCACTCAATTGGGAGTTGATAGGTGATGCTCATGTCCAGTGGCATTGTTGGTAAAAGTGGCAATCACTGAATTATAAAAATAAGTAAGAAATTAGACCATATTTAAAAAGATGGTTATAAACTTCATATGTTCAAGAAGATAGAGGAAAACATGAGCATGATAAGGCAAGATAAGGAAAACCTAAATCACATGTCTGGAGGTGAAAAATACAGTATTTGAGATGAAAAATACACTGGATGGGTTTAGCAACGGCTTAGACATTGAAAGAAAAGATTAGTGAACTTGAAGACATAGCAATAAAACTATCCAAATGAAACATATAGAAAAAAGACTGATCAGTACTGTGGGGCAATATCAAATGACCTAATATATACAATTGGAACCCAGAAGGAGGAAGAAGGATCAGAAAATTATAATTGAGGAAGCAATGTCTGAAAATTTTCTGCATTTGATGAAAATTCAAAACTTGGATAATGTAGAAGGTCAGTGAATCCCAATTAAAAGAAACATGGAGAAAACTAAATATATAACATATGACTCCCTATTACTTAGATATGAGTAAAGGAACTAACTAGTCTAAATACCCTTTCAATTAAGAGCAAAGGGAAATAAATTGCAATTAAGTGTGTTAGATAATTTTGACAATCATAATGGATATAACTGTGTATCTTGAAAACCTGTCCTATCTCCAAATATAGATAAAAGTACATTGCAACATAGATGTGACAGATGGCCCATTTCTTACTAAGACAAGAAAGAAGAATTAAAAACCTAGGGCATCACTACATTATCAAACAAATGACTTATTTTCTCTGTAGTTTAGTAGAAAAGGGGACTTAGATTTGGAGTCCAATAAATTAGAATTCAAATTTTGTCCCTATGTGCATGGCCTTGGACAAGTGATATTTGTCGTTCTGTCATTTATCATTTTTGACTTCCATTTCCTCATTTGTAAATTTAGAATAGTACTGCCCAGCTTCATAGAGTTATTAAGGGTTAAATGAGCTAATATATGTGAAAATGATTAGTACAGTGCTTGGTGCTCATGTTATTTTTGTTGTCTCTTTCTAATCCTTCTTTCCAAGTAGTATTTTCTGGCATTTTTTTTTTTTTGTTCCCCCTTGATCAGTGATATTAGTACTGGAAAAGACCTTAGCAATCACCTAGTATTGGGCCCTCCTTTTACATATAAAGAAATTGAACCCTGCTGAGGTCACGTGTTTCTTGAGGGGGAGACTATTCTGTTACTGAGCTCTATTATGTGTTTTAAACCATAACATTAAAAGCAAGTTCTCTGTGCCTTCTCAGAAGCAAAATGGGAGTTAATATTTGCTGACAATTTTATTTTAGAACACAATAATGCAGATCTTAAAACTGAACATTTAAATGAATATGCTCATATTACAACTAAAGTTCTAGAATGATGGAAGTGTTGTTACGGGTATTTTATGGCAGGATAAATGAGACAAAATGAAGACAAGAAGCTTAGCTTTCAAGCTCCTGGATAAACTAGAGTTACATGGCAGGTATTTGAATACTGTGCTCAGTGTAGAAGGACGTGTGTCTTAAAATAGACATTCTTTAAATATATGCAGCAAAGAATATAAAGAGACATCACTTTAAACATGAAAAATAAATTGCATATAGCACGGTATATACAACATAATTATAATGTATACTTGATCTTTGTAAAAATTAATTTTAAACATGAATAGAGACCAGAATATAGACCATAAAGAGTGCCCACACCCAGAAAGCCACATAGAAGCTATGCTGTGGCATGCGGCTCCCTGGGCTGGGCCTAGGAGATCAGAAGGCTTCCCATGTTTCCATTTTTAAATCACTTGCAATTGTTTGATTTAAAATATATATTAAAAAATTAGCTGCAGAGACTATTTATAGTTATAGGAACTTTTTGGAGAAAATAACACAAAAGCACTACAGAGCTGCTGAAATTTTAAATAATTCTTTGTAAATGCCCTAGGTTAATTTAGATCCCTGAAAACACATTAGGAAATTAAGCTGTAATGTGAGCTAATTCAGATTTTAATTTGGCAAAGAGAATGATCCAACTACACAGTTAATGTAAACAGAAGCATAACACAGGGAAATTAATGAGGTTTCCTTCCGATGAATCTTCAAGGAGGTAGATAATTAGCTTCTTTTGTTATTATTGTAGGAGAATGTGGCATTGTCTCTGAGGTGTAAAATAACTGTGGCTTACTAAGTGATAATGTGCTTCATTTGTCTTTTTTTTTTTTTAATAATTATTTATGTTAAACTCTTGTAGGATGAAGCAGCAGCACAGCCTCTGAATCTCTCATCCCGACCCAAGACAGCAGAGCCTGTAAAGTCCCCAACATCTCCTACCCAGAGCCTCTTCCCAGCCAGCAAAACCAGCCCTGTCACTCTGCCAAACAAAAGCAGCATCCCTAGCCCCATTGGAGGAAGCCTGGGAAGAGGATCCTCTTTAGGTAAATGGAAAAGTCAACACCAGGGAGAGATTTATGAATTAGGTAAAAGAGAGCAAACCTGTGTAGTGACGACTGATCCTTATTTCCAAAGTGTTTCTTAATAAAAGATGATACTCTTATCTTTTCTACTGAGACATAACCCGATTTAGTATCTTGGGTGCTTAGAACCTTTGGAAATGGTCATAATATAAATCCTGATAAGATGGGTTCTTTAGATGATGATGAGTTAGATCTAGCAATCACAGGCTTAGAAACTTGTGTATTTGGTCAATGTTTTGCTGCTGAAGTAATTTTCCAAGGATCTAAGGACCTGGCTTCAAAGCTGCTTTTCAAAAGGCTAAAATTTATTTGAAATTGTATATCTTCTTTATGTGATTTTTACATCTTATTCCATATTACTTTTGCATTAAAACAAATATGAATGACACACTTCAATAACATATGAAATAATGTCGATACCTAGAAAGATATGTCATGATGATCCTCTGGCTTCTTGCATTCCCCCATATAATTCCAAATATCTCTAGGAAAATTCACACCCTCATGTGAAAAACATGGAGGAAAAAATAAGGGTTTTGGTATGAGAAAGGCTTGGACTGAGTGCCTTCACTTAATAGCTATGTTACCCTGGGAAAGTTATTTAATATTTTTTTAATTCAATTTCCTAATCTCTGAAAAGGTTATAGTATTGCCTAGCTCATAGGTTGTTATGATAATTAAAAGAGAAAAATGCATATAAAGTTCTTAGCACAGGGTCTAACATTTAGAAGGCATTCAAATTTAAAAGACTGGAATGAATGAATATCATTACATTTATATATATGTGGAGTGAAACAATAAATGTGAAAGCACTTGTGATCAAGAGAGTGCCAAATAAGTATTAGCATTAGTGTTACTATACTCTTTAAGTCTCTTAATTTCCAAATAAAGACACAGAGATCAAAAGGGGACAAGATCCAGCATTTCATCATCAAATTACATTTCTTGCATTATCGAGTCCTAGAGTCTGAAATGCTTATTACAACAGATAAAGAAAACTGTATAATTATAGCCATTTACAGTTTAAAAACACTTTTCTCTATTTTATCTCATTGGATTTTTCACAATAGTCTTGTGAGTTAAGTTGTGTATTAGTATTACCCTCATTGTGAGACTAAACTGTGGTTCTTAGAAGTAGAATGACTTGCTCATACTCCTGTAGCTAGAACCGGGACTAGAATCCAGGTCCTCTCACACATAATTCAGTGTTCATTTTATAAACTTACAGTTGGAATTTTTGTTCAATTTTGCCAAGTCTAAGTAAATCTGATAGTGAGATGTAAATCTTCCTCGTTGAAATTTAGGACATTGGGATCTCTATAGCAGCCTATTCTCAATTTGAGTCAGGATGCCTCTTCCAGGGACTCGAAGTTTTTACCTCAAGTCAGTGGTATCCATGTAGAAGACAGAAGTGAATCATTTCTAACATATGAATATGAGGAATATCACTTGGCTGGATTTTTGGAAGTTATGAAATAAGGAAAAAAGACAACATAAGTTACAAAGTTGATCTCGAAATGACCCTCCTATAATCCACTTCTGAATTTTGTTTAGAAAGCATTTCTCTGCTGTATTGAGCATCCTGAGGGGCAAAGATGACTATGTTACAGAACCTGCTCTTGGGACACTTTTACCTCAGCAGAGCATACTCCTAGATCATGAATTACACACAGGCTTAATAGCACCTGCACTTGAACAGCACTCTTGTCCAGACGATATTGGATAGAAATAGTCTTTTTTTAATCAGAAAAGCTATAGAACAAAAGCTGTGGGTTTTCTATATCCTAAAATTGACTGACTTAACAGAAATTTCACAGATAGCCTTAAGAATCTTTTCCAAACTCAAATGCATATGTTCATACATTGCACTCACAAGACCTATGTCGTGAGCTTGATTTTTGTCTGGTTTCATCTGTCCTGTCTATGTGAGGTATATACACACACACACACACACACACACACACACACACACACACACACACACATATGCTATGAAGTGCTCATTCCAGGCTGCAAACAAGTGGATCACGTTAAAATTTACCACAGCAATTTAAACCTATCAATCATTAAACAATTGCCCTCTTTTTGTCTAAAATTGGAAAAGCTTACTCATTCTTACCTATAGTGAAATGCAAGAAATGTTAGAAAATTAGTCAGTTTAATTTAGAATTTTCCCCTTTTGCTACACGGAATGCAATGGAAGCAAATATTTATTCTCACTTTATTTGAAGTTTTGTACTTATGTGAAAACCATTCCCACACATATAGCCTCACTGTCATGAAGATAGGGAGATGAGAGCAGCGGGTGTTCAAGTTGGGGGTGGGGAATGGGTTGTCATTCTCTTGGTAAATAACTGAGGCAGCATGATGAGAAGAATGCTTCATTAACCAGCCAGCAATTGGGGAATGGAGAGGATGGTGTATTCCTTCCGCCCACTCTCTCCAACAGTGGACATATGAACACACAGATACAGATGTCACTAAAGTACACATGTAGCCTCATAGATTTTTTCTACTAGGCCAGAAACAGCTTTCCTGCATTAGCACCAAATATAACGGGTAGCCTGGACAAACCTCTCTGCTTCATCCCCACCCTCTGCCCCCTTCCTTCCCACAACTCCTGCACAGAAGAGGCAAGATTGTATGCTAATTGTACATATAGGATGAACAGATATCTTCCCCCAATATATACGCAATAGAAATCTAGGAACCTTCATCTGTGAGGAGGTGAGTAGACAGAATCCAGATAGACTAGAGTGCTGGGGTTTCTTCCAGTGGCTGAAAAAACCCAGCACAGCTTGGATGCCCTGGCTTTCTATGCCCTGTGCATAGTATTGTACAGTTTTTTAAATAGCAAATGTACCCCTTCTTTGTTCGGGGAATGCAGTTTTCTACAGGGGAATGGATAGTAGCAGTGCTTTTATTTAAGAGTCTAACCTCACAAGCCTCTAATAATGCATTCTGTGTATGCAGATATCCTGTCCAGTCTCAACTCCCCTGCCCTGTTTGGGGATCAGGATACAGTGATGAAAGCCATTCAGGAGGCTCGGAAGATGCGAGAACAGATCCAACGGGAGCAACAGCAGCAACAGCCACATGGTGTTGATGGGAAACTGTCCTCCATGAATAATATGGGGCTGAACAACTGCAGGAATGAAAAGGTAAAACTTGCTTCCTTCCTTCACTGGATCTTCCATACCCATTGGCTTACTCTCTGGCTCTTTCCAGGCTCCCAACCATCAATCTGAAGCCATAGATTTAGGCTTCCAGCTTGAGGGCTGTCTTGTATTTTGCACAAATCTGTCATGTATCACATTTAAAATGGTAAATGATTAACAAATATGTCTTCTTCCAGTCAGTGTGAATTGCCTCCCAGGCACCCAACTTGCCTGTCTATTGGTGTGTCTTTCTGTCACATTCTGAAATATTTAAATGTATCTTATAATAAAGGGGCTATATGATAGTATTAGAATAAGAATAAAGTATCAGAATATTAAAAAAGGAAGACACACATATGTTCCCAATAAAGGCTAAGTCACAATGACTCACCATTAAATTTAATACTAAGCTTCCTATTAACCAGGCCAAAAAAACCTAATAAAGCAATTTACAAAATTCATTTATTTATTTTGTGATTTAGAAAATTGTTTATTGAGTACCTATTCTATGATGGACTCTGTTCTAGGCACTAGAGTTACAGCAGTGAGCAAATCTGATAGAAATACCTACTCTCATAGAGCTTGCATTCTAATAGGGAAACACAGATGATTAAGAAATAAACAATTAAATGTATGGTATAATTTCAGGAGGTGAATAAATACCATGAGAGAAAAATAGAAGCAAGGTAAGGGAATAGTGAATTATGAAGTTGTTATGTTAGATGGGGTGGTAAGGACTCTCTGAGGAAGTGACATTGAGTAGAGAGCTGACCGTCTAAAAGAGCAGGAGCAAGAGCATTCCAGGTAGCAGGAGCCATAAGTGTAGAGGCCCTTAGAGGGGTGGGATCAGGACCAGGGAGGCCAGCATGGCAAGAGTGGCATGAGAGAAGGGATAGCAGGGGGACATGAAGAAAATGTGATAGGCTGGGGCAGAACATGGATGTAGTAGGCCCTGGAAAGGCTTTTCATTTTATTCTGAGTGTGATGGGAATCCCCAGACCGGTTTTCTCCAGGGAATTGATGTGATCAGAGTTACATGTAAAAGAATCATTCTGTCTACTATGGAAGAATGAACTGTAGGAGGTTAAGAATGGAAACAGGAAGACCAGTTGAGAAGCTATTGTAGTAGACTGCGTGAAAAGTTCTGATTAGCTGACAGAATGAAACATGCCATTTTTTTTTAAAAGAGGTGAAAATACTTTCCCAACACTAAATTGTTTAATGCTTTTTTTTTAAAACATGGTAACTGTCTAGGAACAAATGAGTGGCATGATGGGCAATGTCTTTGGTAACAGTTTTAGAGTAAATTAAAAAAAATTATTTCCATTCATATGTTTATTCTATAAAGGCTACGAATATAATATACTGAAGTCAGGGCCAAGAGACCTCTCTTTGTCTCACTTCTCGCTAATTCTAGCATGGATGCTGTGGCAAAGACTCCATTCATCAGAATAAAATTTATAGTTTACCCAATTCCTAGGAGGATTTGTTTTTTTCAAAGCATTACCGGGCTACAAATGTTTTTGGTTACAAGGATTGCTTTTGTAATGCTTGAATCAGGGTTCTTAGTGTGCCTATTACCCAGATAGTGTTCATTGTACCCATCAGGTAGGTTTTTGGCCATCCCCTCCTTCCGCCTCCCCCTGGTGGACTTCCATTGAGTCATATATCCCTCCATGCAAATATGTGCTCATGGGTTCATTCCAATTTACTAGTGAGCACATATGGTGTTTGTTTTTCCATTCTTTAGATATTCACTTAGGATAATGGTCTCTAGTTCCATCCATATTGTTGCAAATGGCATTAAGTCATCCTTCTTCATGGCTGAGTAGTATTCCATGGTATACATATACCACATTTTGTTAATCTATCATGAATTGATGGGCATTTGGGTTGATTCCACATCTTTGCAATTGTGAATTGTGCTGCAGTAAACATTTGAGTGCAGGTGTCTTTTTGATAAAATGACTTCTTTTTCTTTGGGTAAATACCAGGTAGTGGGATTGCTGGATTGAATGGTAGGTCAACTTTTAGTTCTCTGAGGAATCTCCATACTGATTTCCATAGAGGTTGAACTAATTTTCAGCCCCACCAACAGTGTATAAGCATTCCTTTCTCTCTGCATCCCCATTCAGTATGATGCTGGCTGTGGGTTTGTCATATATGACTTTTATAATTTTGAGATATATTCCTTCTATGTCATGTTTTTCGAGGGTTTTTATCATTAAAGGGCAATGAATTTTGTTGAATGCTTTTTCTGCATCTATTGAAATGATCATATGATCATTGTTTTTGCTTCTTTTTATTGTTGACTCACATTTATTGATTTACGTATATTGAACCATCCTTGCTTCTTTGGGATGAAGCCCACTTGGTCATGGTGGATTATTTTTTTGACATGCTGTTGAATTTGGTTTGCTAGTATTTTATTGAGGATTTTTGTATCTATATTCATAAGGGATATTGGTCTTTAGTTTCTTTTTTTGTTGTGTCCTCTCCTGACTTTTTAATATCAAGGTGATACTGGCTTCATAGAATGAATTGGGGAGGATTTCCTCATTCTCGATGTTATGGAATAATTTATGCAGTATGGGTACCAACTCTTCTTTGTAGGCCTGATAAAATTCAGCTGTGAATCCATCTGGTCTGGGGGTTTTTTTGTTGTTGTTGGAAGATTTTTATTTTTCCTTCAATCTCGCTGCTCATTATTGGTCTGTTCAGGAGTTCAATTTCTTCCTGATTGAGTCTTGGGAGATTTGTGTGTTTCCAGGAATTTGTCCATTTCCTCTCTGTTTGTGAGTTTATGTGCATAGAGATTTTCATAGTATTCACAGATGATATTCTATATTTCTGTGATATCAGTTGTAATATTTCCTTTTTCATTTCTGAATGAGCATTAATTATTTGGGTCCTTTCTCTTCTATTCTTGGCAAGAGGTCTATCAATTTTGGCAAGAGGTCTGCCAAAAAGTTCTATAAATTTTGTTTATCTTTTCAAAGAACCAACTTTTGTTTTGTTGATCTTCTGTATTATTTTCTTTTTTTTTTCAATTTCATTTAGTGCTGCTCTGACCTTAGTTATTTCTTTTCTTCTGCTGGGTTTGTGATCTATTTGCTCTTTCTTTTCTAGTTCCTTGAGATGCGTCATTAGATTATTAATTTGTGATCTTTCTGTCTTTCTGATGGATTTTTAAATTAGCATGTGGAAGAAGTCATGAGGTAAGTATGTGGTCGTGTGTGCTCTTATCCATGCATTTGCATACATAGCCATATCTAGGGTGTTTGTTTTCTTATGTTTTATTTTCAAAAGGTATGGTGATGGTGACAATCTGAGAATGCGGGTGTGTTAGTTTCCTAGGGGGTTGCTGAAAACAACAGAAATTTATTCTCTCACAATTCTGGAGGCCAATCCCAAATCAAGGTGTCAGCAGGGCTATCCTCCCTCTGAAGGCTCTAAAGAAGAATCCTCCCTTGCCTTTTTCTAGCTTCTCATGGTTGCTGGCAATCCTTGACATTTCTTAACTTATAGCTGCATCACTCTAATTTCTGCCTCCCTCTTCCATAGTTGCCTTCCCTCTCTGTGTGTCTCCAAATCTCTCTCTCTTTATAAGGACATCGGTCATTGGATTTAGGGCTCACCGTAATCCATTGTGAGCTTATTTTAACTTGATTACATCTGCAAAGACTCTATTTATAAGTAAGGTTACATTTATAGGTACCAAAGATTAAGACTTGGACATATCTTTCTAGAGGTACAATTCAACCTATTAGAGTGGCATACAGAGCCATTGCTCATGCTGAATCAGTCTCACACTAGGAGACAACTTGGGTGCAGAGGACTGGGAGGCGGGTTTATGGGAATGGGAGAATGATGGGACTCTCAAAGCATATATGTGATCAAAACCCTTGTACAGATTAGGAAGCTTAGCTCTGAAAGAGTGTTGACTTCCCAAACTTTAGTAAAGAATTTGACTTTACCCTCATTTCTCAATGCGTTGATTTACTCATGTTAACATTATACATATACACACACACGTTATATATATAAAATAAAAATATATATACAAATAAAAATGTATATATATAAAAATACATACACATGTGTGTGTGTGTCTGTGTGTGTATAAATAAAATGATAGTGGATCTTTTGGTGCCTGCTAAGCCATAAACTTTTACGTACTTTGAATTAATCATGTACATGCCAATCACTGGTTCTTCTTGCTCTCTAAGTGCCCCATTTCCCAGTAAATGTCCCATCCCATTTTGGAACCTTGGCAGTGGGCTCACAAGGCCGAGCCCCTCTTTAACAGCTGCCTGAGTGGATAGTTAGGTATAGAGTATGGTTTCAGGGCTACAAGAGAAGAAAAGCCTTACCTCCAAACCTCTTCTACCACTCTGATATTAGAGACAAACAGAGTCATTTTTTTGACCTGAGATAGTCATCTGCTCAGTGAAAACATCATGAAATAATAACAAATTTAATCTTAATGTGAATAAATTTATAAGATTCTGTTTTGTGATGTGGGTAAGTGAACAAGTTTAGGCATAGGGATATTGAGTAGGAAATTTGGTTAAAAACAAGAGAATGGGCACATGTACCAGGGACCATATCCTACTTTACAATATTGCCAAGGATTAATTTTAAAAATTAGTTTGAGAAGCACATCAGTGATTTTTTGAACTCAGTCTTTTAAATTATTTTTAATTATTAGATTTCAATTGAAAGTAATATATGCTTACTAAAAATTCTAATAATACAGAAATATATGTGGTGAAAAAGCTAATAACCCCCTTTCCCCATTAACTATTAAATATTCAGAAATTTTCTTTGAGTAGTAGCAATCGTTAGGGAATCAGAAATTTTCTTTGCATAGATAAGAAAGTATTAATGAGTTTAAAAATATACATTCTCACTTAAAACAGTAGTCACTGAGTTGTCACTTACCAGCTGTGTAATGTTTGGCAAGTTGATTAACCTCTCTGAACCTCAATTTCTTCATCTAT